CTGTTGGGCCACAACAGTGTGTGTGTGTGTGTGTGTGTGTGTGTGTGTGTGTGTGTGTGTGTGTGTGTGTGTATGTGTGTGTGTGTGTACAAATATATTTCCAGTCCCCGAGTCATTGTCTTGGACTTAAAATACTATAATCATCTTTGTGATGTATATATTTAATTAGATTTTATCTATCTATAATCTATGTCTGTCTGTCTGTCTATCTATCTAACTATCTATCTAATTTGATCCTTATTTCTCCCCTTCCATGCGCACCTTCAATTTTCTTTTAGGTCTGTTATCAAATATTAGAGAAGGAGAAGCAATAGATCAAGAATCTGGGCCCAATCCCAAAAGACTCTCAAAAGAGAAAGGTAACACCATTTTTTTTTATTTTTCTCATATCAAAATGATTTTTAGACTTTTTTTTGCTGCTCTATAGCTGTATATTAAAATTAGAAGGATTGTATAGATTATAGCATACTCTAATTTGGAAAATGGTTTGGATTGGGTGATATTTGCATTCACCTCCAGTATTTTGCCATTTAACACAAGGGGGTGGGGGGGATCAGAAAGACACACACACACCTATTCTACAAAAGGGTAATCCCACTCTCTCAAAGTTCCCACTATATGGTCCCATATCTGATAGGCAAAGTCCTGCTTGTTACTCACTAAATGCTCAAAAACTTGGTTCTTTCACTCAGTTTCTTTCATTGTTTGTTTGTTTGTTTATAAATAAGTCTTAAAGGCCACCTGAATCCCAAATAACTGTAGGGAGTAACTTATTGGTTGGTTGGATCACAGTATCAGAATTTAATCCTGGTTTTGCTGAAGCTACTTGACTTCTGTAGATTCGGCGAGGAAGCCCCATTGAACTTGATTTTTTTAAAAAAGAAATGATAGTGAATTGTTTTGTAGTCTATAATACAAATGGGTAAAAAATCCCCACACTTAAGATGTTTTTATACATCTTAAGGATGGTTTAGGGACACGGTGGCTCAGTGGCTAAGATGTTGAGCTTGTTGATCAGAAGGTCAGCAGTTCAACTGTTTGAATCCCTAGCGCTGAGTAACGGAGTGAGCTCCTGTTACTTTTCCCATCTTCTGCCAAACTAGTAGTTCAAAAGCATGTAAAAAATGCAAGTAGAAAAATAGGAACCATCTTTGGTGGGAAGGTAACAGCGTTGCCTGCACCTTCGGCCTTTAGTCTTGCCTGCCACATGACCATGATGACGTCTTCAGACAGTGCTTGTTCTTCGGCTTTGAAACGGAGACGAGCACCGCCCCGTAGAGTCAGGAACGACTAGCACATATGTGCGAGAGGAACCTTTACCTTGAAGGATGGTTTAAGTCATGCGTACTTGATTATAACTCTGGTAGTTGGCAGAGAGTTGCATTCTTGAATCTATCGCATACTTTCTGTGACATCTAGTTTTGCTGATTCAGATTAAGTCTACAGAATAACAGCGCTAATCATTCTGGCAAAAATAAGTTCACACGCCATCTTATCCAATCATCTGTCAGTTCAGAAATACTTAAGAGTGGTCACGTTGGGGTCGCGACTTCTGTAAGTTGTTCGACTTCTTTGTGTTTGCATTCCTTGTATTTTACACTTGCAATGAATTGTGTTTCACGTGAATGCAATGAACTAATTGTATTAATGCATTTGCATTCATTATAGCTTGCCTCCTGCATTTTTGAATTTTAATTCAATTGCCAACATTTTATTGATTTATTACATGCATTTTAGCCCCTCCCCTGCTTTGTTTCTAAGGCGGCTTGAAATCATAAAACCATTAAGGAATAAAACAAGCTCTGCCACTTTTATCTTTATCAAGGCCAATACCGATGATGTTGATGACGAAGATGATACTATCATCATCAAGGTTTCAGGAATTCATTATTGAGGGGTATATGTAGTTAACACAAAAGTATCTATGTTTATTAAGTATGGCAAGTCAGCAATTTACCCAGGCATGGTAAACATATGTTTTCACATCTGGTTTCCGTTAATATCATCATGATTTTGAAAATGATTTATAGCGCTCTGAGCCATAAACTGCCAGCTTTGCTGTAACTTGGAGTTTTTGTGAGATTGAGCTAATTATTGAAAGCATGTTCCAGTGGCAGGCTGAGGTGGGGTGGGGATGAAAGGCTACCTCTCCAAATAATTTACCAAGCTTGCCCTGGAAGAGAATCACAAGACATCATCCATGGAAAGAACCCTGGAGTAGCTAAGCAGTGGTAGATCTTTCTGCAAGACGCAATATATGTGGAGGATGTGATTTTGGCCACAGGAATGTAAAAGAACTCTCTTCCCACAAAGTTTCACAGCACTCTCCGCTTCAAGGCAAGGCTGAAAAAGTGAGAATTTCACTGTTTTGCAAGAACTACGATTGCTTTGGGCTGTGCAAATCCTTTGAAAATGTTGCTTTCCCTACATAGGACTATATCCAAGGCTTCTTGACATCTGGTATGTGGGAATGATCTTCATGAGACAGGGGAAGAGATGCTGCTTAGGGAATGATCAGATAAGGGACGGAGGAGCCCACAACTACATAACGGAGAAAGAAGCTCAGAAAGGAACAGTAGGAGAAGAGGCAGAAGCTGGGAGTGGAGTCAAGAGAGGACTCAGCCTAAAATTGTTACGTCCCCTCTTGAATTCCATTAACCCTTATCTAGAGCCCATTTAATGCTTAGCCTTAGTTGACTAGACTCTTGTGAATAGGCGTGAGCAATCAATCTTCTGAATTTGAATTTACACGCCTGACACTAACCTCCCACAATGACTACTACAACAGCTCACGACCCACTGTTGACCTGGGAAGCTGGAGAAGTTACAGATCATGGGATTTTACACACAGGTGTATTTCTCTGCCATTCTTTCTTGGGAAATTGTTTGTTTACATTGGGAACCGGTGGGAAATCAACGTTGATGGGTTTTTGTTTCTATCTTGTTTGAGCTCAATTAAAGAAGTTTAGAATAGAATAGAATATTCTTTATTGGCCAAGTGTGATTGGACACCCAAGGAATTTGTCTCTCGTGCATAAGCTCTCAGCATACATATATTCAAACAACAAAGTGATAAATCATAAATTCTCTTTCCACAAGGTGAAAAGGGGAGGGGTTGAATAAAGAAACAAACGACATTGATTTGAAAACTTGAAATACCATAGAGCCTTTGTGGGGGGAAATTGTTAATTGTGTGAAACAGATGCAGGGTTGACTGGTTTTTAGAGAGGAGGATTGTGACTGATTCCCCTCCCACTATTTCAGGGGTCAGCAACCTGGGGCTCTGGAGCCGCATGTGGTTCTTTCATCCCTCTGCTGTGGCTCCCTGTTGTCGGTCGGCTCCACTGATAGGGCTTTGGGTTAGGACAGGTAGAGGAAAAAGGACGCTGCGCTATGAGGAAACTCTATGGTGGGGGAACCAGACTTCCGGTTGGCTTCAAAATTAATGGGGGGCTTCCGGGTAGGACCTTTGTGGCTCTTTGAGTGTTTAAGGCTGCCAACCCCCTACTCTAATTAGTACCAAAGATTTAAGTACCAAAGTTTTTTCAAAAGGCAACTGAACTTTGTTTTTCCTTTTTCCTTGTTTTTCACTTTTCTTCCAAGAAGCTACTTCAGTTCTTCAGTTCAGTCATAACTGAAGAAGCTTCTTGGATAAGAAGCGAAACTTCTTCAAGGAAAAACAAACTCCAGTTTCCTTTTTAAAAAGCCCCTTTGGGACTACTAGCAAGACCTAAATGACTTGAGAATCTCCATTCACATACCCCTCGTTAGTTTATTTTATGATTGAAAGATAAGAATATGTTTATGGAAACACAAAATATTTTTTTAATTAAAGGCCAGATTGAATTTGGACACTACTTATAATTGGATTTGGGGGAGGGGGCGTACAATATGCTAATTTTTGGACATATGTCTTCATTCCATTCAAAATATTTGGATTGCACCAGCTTTCTTCGCGCCGGGCGTGTTTTCCTTTTAAAGCTTTTATTTTGCGTATTATTGCCATGTTTAATTTTACTTTCAACTGTCCCTAGCATCTGTTCAAAAAAAAAAAAAATCCACCTTTGGAAATCATTTTTGGGAAGGTGGGAGGGGGAGAGGGGAATTAATAACACTCTTTCACACCAATCGGTTCTAATTTTTTTATTTTTATTTATTTTTTGAGTGGGGAATGAAAATTAATGAGTCAAGATAAGAAGAGACCAGTGTTTTTGGCTTGGGAATGTAATTGCTTTTTCTTTTTCTTTTCTTTTTTAAAAAACTTTCCTATTGATGCTGGACGCCATGTGCTGTTTCATGTGCTTGCGCACAGCAGATTGTCCAAGACGAATCAGCCATCACGGACAAATATATTAGCATATGTCTTTTGTTTATCACAAGGCAAGCAAAGAGGAGCAACAGAGTACCCATGCAACAGGCTAAGCCCCAGGGACTAGCAGATGGAAAAGGGGAAGCAGATATTCCAAGGTTTTGTTCCAACCAGAATGTGGGGTTGATAAAAATCCAGCTAGCCTTTAAGGTTACAAAGCTTTGCAGTAAATGTTCTTTTGTTTCTTCCTTATTTTATTTTTTTTGTTATTAAAATATTTATCCCTCATGCTACAAAGGGAGAATGTTGAGCATAAGGCTACCCGTAAGGCAGTGGTGGGTTTCAAAAATTGTTGGAACCTACTCTGTGGGTGTGGCCTCCTTTGTGGGAGTGGCTT